CATGGTCAGCCCCACAGGCGGCCCCCATGTAACAACTGGTCACATGGGGAACTGGTGTTGTGCTGGCTGAAGCTTTGTTCTGCACCAGCGGTGGGCAATAGTTTCAGAAGGAGGGCCATTTCACACATTTTTAAGTGGCCCCAGGCCACCCCAGAAGGGGCAGGGTCTCAGGCAGAAGTAGAGTTGTCAGGTGTCCAGTATTGACCCAGACAGTCTGGTATTTTCACCTCCTGTCTGGTAAAAAAATTTCAGAAAGTCCCGGACACCTAAAATGTCCGGTATTTTCTGATTTTTCCCAGCCAGTAGGTGAAAATCCTGGGTGTTTACTGGGTTCTGCAGTGGAGCTGTGCAGCCCCGGAGCAGGGAGACAAGATGGCGGACAGTCACCAGCAAGCTGTTAGGGCTAAAAAGCCTCAAAAGCATTTTTTAAAGGGGCCGTGCTTTTTTTTTTTTTTTTAATGGAACTCTCGGGGTCTTTTTTTCCCCCCAACTTTTTCTGCCCCCCCCCCCAACAGATTTTGGGGGGGGTCAGTATTTTTGATTAAACCATCTGGCAACCCCACCTGGGGCACTACTACCAAAGGGAGCATCAAAGCTGGAGAGAAAGAGACCCTAGGCAAAGGGGCAAGGCTAGGGCACTTCTCAGGCTCCCCTGCCCCAGACCCTGATTGGCCTGGGGGCAGGGGAAGCACGTGAAGTCTTTGCCACCGGCTCCCGCCTCCCCCCAGGCACCTAGAGAGAACTGCCAGCTGCGTGGAGACTTTCCATGCTCCCCCTGACCGCAGGCCAATCCGGGCCTGTGCATGGGGGAAATGCATGAAGTCTTCTCCCCCCTCCCCAACCACGCTGTAAGGGGCACACAGAGCCTAGAGAGAACCACCTCCTGGTCTTGATTGGCCATGGGGCAGGGGAGCAGCAGTGCGGCCGCAGCCCAGATCCAGGCTACACAGGCTCTCTTGACCACCCCTACCCTACACTGAAGTAGGGTTGCTGGGTGTCCAGTATTCAACCAGACAGTCTGGTTTTTGGACCTTCTGTCCAGTAAAAAAATTCAGAAAATATCAGACATGTGCAACGTCCGACGTTTTCTGGTTTTCCAGCTGGTCGCCCGCGGGAGCCTGGCGGGGGAAGTGGCTGGGAGGCAGGGCGCTGGGAGCCTCTGGTTGAGTCTGACGTAGGAGTGACGCCTTGGGGAGGAGGAGAAGCCCTGGCCGTACTCCTGAGCGCTATTCAAGCGCATTGTGGAGCCGTAGCTGGACTCGCTCATGCTTCGCCGGGACCATGCACAGGACAGGCAGCGCCCTGGGATCTGCATGTGCCTGGGTCAGTCCCGCTCCCCCCCGGCCGATTCTCTCCTCCTCCTCCCCCCAGCCAGCCCTGCTCCCCCCAACATCTCCTCCCCCGATTGCCCCCAACCAGCCCTGCTTCCTGCCAGCTGCCCCTCCTCCTCTCCTCCAGCCAGCCCCGCTGCCCCCGACCCCCTCTCACCAGTCCTGCTTTCCGTCCATCCCCTCCCGCCCAGCCAGCCCCACTCCCCTCCCGGCTGGTTTCCCCCTCCCCCAATTAAGCTATCTGGTAACCCTACACTGAAGCCCTCCCACTGATGTGCATGGGCATCACATGTGACAGGGGCATAGGCAGGCCGCTGCCAAGCCCTTTCCCACCAGCTATTTTGTTCATCTTCACAATAAGCTCCTTCCCAGCCAGACCAGGTCTGATGCCACAGAGGGGTAGGGCCCATTTTTAAAGCACTGCAAAGCACTCCACTTCCATGGCCCTCCTCAGCAGAACATCCAAAGGAGCCCATCTGTACAAGAAGGGCTCCTTTAGCACTGCAGTGTCATCAAGGTTGGGGCTTGGGAAGAAAACTCGATCTTCCTTTGCTATCCTCCACCAGGGCAGCGGCACAGCCCAGGCACTAAGGTGGGAGCACAGATTTTCTGCCTGTTTCCACCTAGTGAGGAGTGGGGAAGAGGACACACGGCTGGGGGGGGTTTCTTGGGCTTTGTGTGTAGACTGGCCACGTTTTCCGGAAAAACAGCCGCTTTTCCGGAAAAACTTGCCAGCTGCCGTCTACACTGGTCGCTTGAATTTCTGCAAAAGCACTGACTTCCTACTGTAAGAAATCAGTGCTTCTTGTGGAAATACTATGCTGCTGCCGCCATCTGGGCAAAAGTCCCTTTTGCGCAAAACTTTTGTGCAAAAGGGCCAGTGTAGACAGCTCAGATTTGTTTGCCATTTTCGTGATCAGGGCTTTTTTGCAGAAATCGGGGCTTTTTTGCGGAAAAGCGTCCGTGCCAATCTAGACGCTCTGTTCCGAAAATGTTTTTAATGGAAAAGTTTTCAGTTAAAAGCATTTCTGGAAAATCATGCCAGTCTAGACGTAGCCAAACAGAATGAAGCCACCAGACTGGGATGGCTCCCCCACTGCTGCTCTACAGATGAGCCTATTTGTAGATCTGCCCTGGCCAGCCCTCACACTGCACTGGCTGGGACAACAGCTACCCTAGCCTGGAGAGCACTACAGCAGGGACAAGCTGATTATTTTGGCAGGGTCAGTGACCCAGTATTTCCCTTAAAACCAGGGCGGGGAACCTGAGACCCAGGGCTGGATTCAGCCCCTGAGGCTCAGGGCTCCCCTCCTCCCAGCACTGGGGAGCCCCCACTGGTGCTACAGCCCCCCTACCATTTCCCTGTGGGACTGGAGCACACAAAATCTATTAGCCTAGCTCCCCCCCCCAGCCTCTGGTATGCAAGGAGCATGTGGGGAGCCTCTTGCCGCTTCTCAGTCAGAGGCCAAATCAGAGTTTGTTGGTTTGCGCTTCTCACTTGCGTTCAGCCCCCACCTGATTTCTCTGTGGGTCAATGGCCTGCGCTTCTCACCTGCGTTCAGCCCCCACCTGATTTCTCTGTGGGTCAATGGCCCACGACCCAAAACAGGTTCCCTGCCCCTGCCTTGAAACCATGCACTTCAAATGCAGAGAGCTGACTCAGTGGCCCCGGGAAGAAAGGTGCCCCCCCCCAACCTGTTAGCTAGTCTTTGGCACCCCGGGTGTTTTCCTGGACTTACTAATGGGAACGTTAAAAAGAGCCGTATCCACAGTTAACTTAGGCTCTCTAGCTCAAGTCCCCTTACTGCACAAGCACAAAGGCCTCTGACCCATTTCTGCAGGAGTGCTAAGCCCAGGCTAGTTAACTGGGGAAGGGAGGCGGGGAAGGAGTAAGAGCCAAGGCTTTGCTCTAACTCAGGCTGAAGCCCACTTTGCAACAAGGACACACAAAAAGAATCACTCCAGGGCTGGTAGCCTCCAGTGGTTTCCCACAGTGGCCCCTGCAGGGTATGCATGTTCTCCCACAGCTGACAGAGGGAAAGCATCTCAGGACACAAGAACCATATGCCAATATTCCCTCATTTTTTCCAATCCACCTGCAGAATAAATTGGTATGTGTGCCAAGGCATGTGCGGATGTGCACCACTAGTAGAAACACATGCAGCTGACTCGGTGGCATTTGAGACAATGAGTACACACTGGGAACTTTGTCTTGGGGATATGCCCAAATTTAGCTGCCAACGACAGACCCTAGGATTTTACCACAGAAGTGACTAAGTTATCAAACACCTGTCTTCTTCTGCAGCATGGTCTCACCCATTAGTTGGTCTGGTGGTGGCAGCACTGTCTGCAAACCTGGCCTTCCTCATGCTACAGTAGCTCATACCAGAAACTGGGGTTTTTGGAGCAGAGAATCCCAAGTTCTAGTTTGGCCAGGGGGAACACTGGCTGACAGGGGAGCCAGCCACAGTAGTATGTGAGCAAGATTCAGGTCCCTTCCCTCAAACACGGGTGTCAAGAGTGCAAACAGCCATTTGGCAGCCTGGCTCTTCTGGTCCAGCCCCAGGTAAGAACCATCTCCCCCTCCCCAAGGACATTTCTGAAAAGAAGAGGGAAAATTATCCTCTGGTCAGATTAAATAGCCCAACAAGAGGGAAACCCCAAATCACTCATGTGCAGGTTAGTTGTGAGGGCAGACTAGATGGGGGGGGGATGAACATCCACAAATATAAATGAATAAAGCAGATGCCTACCCTAGTGTGCTGACAGACAGACATACAGAAACACTGTAATCCTGCTACGGTGTAAACACAACACATGCTTTTCCCTGAATAGATCTTTCCTGCTTTCATCCAGCTTCACTGTGGAATCACCTAGTATCAGATCCAGCTGAGGACGCTGCACTTTGAGCATGGGCCCATGGATTTTCTGGCAAGCACTGGCTCCAACTAGGCTTGCAGGTGCACAACACCTCAGAAAGAAAATAAAAGCCACGAGATTAATGGCATGGTCTTTACAACCATGAGGCATGTGACAAACAGCCAGGCTGGCAGGTGCCATGACACCAGATCAGCAGCATTGCACACCCGGAGCGTAAGTCCAGCTGAGAGCAGCTCCAAGAAGGTGCAATTCCACAAGGTCACAGCGCCAGTCTGTTCCTGGGACAGGTAGGTCTGGGAACTGACTGCCTGTGGATTTTGTGCCCTAACTTCTGGAAGGAAAAAAAAAAAAAAAAAAAAAAAAAAAAAATCAGGCTCAGCTGAAAGAGGATGTCCCTGTGAGAGAAAGAGAGAGGATATTCTAGCAGTAGGATGTCCCTGCCACCCAGTGCAAAAGCCTGGGGCAGATTAAAAAAATACAATAAATTAAGACCAAAAAAAGTACGGTTATGAAAATAGAGAAATTGTTCCCTGGAAAGAATGAGGCATGGCAGAGACACCTTCCTTCCTCTGAACCCCACAACACCCCACTGCCTCATACTCTGCCCCCCCAATAAACTGCAAAGACAGCAATATTTTGCCCCTGCCTCATGGTCCCTAGCTGGCTGAGTGCCGGGTGTAAAATTCATCTCAGCCTGGCTGCTTTGGGGGAACACCAGCCTCCTTGAGGACATGTGAGAGATACAACTGCCTTTTTGGGCTCTGCAATATGAA